GCTTTTGTTGGGGCGGCTTCCCACCTGTCTCTCGGGGAGACCAGCTTCCTGAGATAACCTCTCTGTATTAAGTCCTCGATATCCTTCTGAAGGATTCGACAATTATTGGTGAGATGGCCATGCTCTCTGTGGTATCAGTAGTATTGCTGAACGTCTCGATTGCGAGGATTTGATTTTATTCGAGGGGCAGAATTGAGATATCCCTCCAGTTGAACCATATAGAGGGCATCAGTAAGAGAGGTGTTAAGGGTCGTGAGGTCTGGCTTAGACGGCGGCTCCCTCTTTCGATCCCTCCTGTCGGACCGATTTGGGCTGTAGCCGGCTCTGAGGGGATGGTTTGCCGACTCTTGTCTGGGAAGGGGATCCCTAGCCATCTCCCGTACTAGTTCGGCCACCTGAGCTGTTACGACGACCATTGACGTGGTTGGTGCTACAGGAGTCGCTAAAGCTACAACTGCTGCTACCACTGGTGTCGCCGATGTCACTGCTGTTGCCGTCATCGTTGTTGTTTTTGTTGCCTTAGCCGCATTCTTGTAGGTTCAGGCATCCTTCATGTCCATATACCTATGAACCTTGACCATCAACTGCTCGTATGCGGAGCATCGTTTCTTGGCAAGTGAGTTGGCCAGCTCATTGTTCGATAGGTCGGTCACAATGACCGACATGGCGACTACGCCTTTCTTAGTTGTCAACCTCTAACTGCTTCGCTTGGAACTCTTGAAATAGTTTCGGAGGCTCTCTCCAGGCTCCTGTCCCATCTGTATCAACACATGAGCATGCAACTTTTATTTGGTGTTGGCCAAGAAGTGGTACACAAACTTCTGGTTGAGTTGCTTGAAGCTGCCGATGGACTTCTTTTTCAGGACATTCCACTAGAACTTGGCACTTCCCGACAAGGTGATGGGAAAGCACCTGCAGATAATGGCTACGGGCGCCTGCAACATGCTCATCATATCATAGTAATTCTGGACATGCTCCGTAAGGTCTCCCTCGCCCTTGTATTTCTCCACTTGAGGCATCTTGAATTTCTCACTGGGAACATTCATGATGTCACTAGTGAGAGAAGTGTCCCCCTAATGGCTTCGGCGACTGATCAGTAAGTCCGATCATAGCCGGAGGCTATGTAGATAGCTGAGAGGCCTGGAGCGGCATTATAACGCTGAGGAGCTTGCTGAGCTCCTATGGTAGCGTTTTTCGTGCCATCACGACTAGGGTTGGGACTCTTATTAGTTCTATGTATTAATTCTATGTATTAAGAGTAAGGTTGACGAGGATCCGCTCGGCTAGTCGGCTGGCGAGAAGGAGATGCGTGCTTGACTAGGCTACTCTGTTGACCGGCATGAGCATCACGCAAAGGCGGAGGAGCTTTAGGCTGGTTTCCTGGTGGAGGATGAGTTGCTGAAGGTTGGTCCCCTGATGGTGGAGGAGCAACGGAGTAAGTGGGTGGAGGAGGATTCTGATAGAGGAGTTTGATAATGAAAGCTGCAAGCTACTGCTGGAAGGCTTGAGTGATCTGCTGGGTGGACTTTTCAAGCTGGGCTTGAGTGACATAGACCGAATGCGATGCTCCTGGGAAGGACTGATCAGGCCTATGCTTAGAATTAGACATGATTTTTCAGAGAAGAAAGAAAGCCTCACGGTAGGTGCCAAACTGTTGATGACTAATATCAAACAGTCAATGAGAGAAGTGGTCTGGTTGACAGAGGTCCTCTAACCCTCCGAATATCCGGTTCTGAGGTGTGCTGTTCTTCTCTGCACAAGTAGAAAATCGTAAGAGGACGGAGTTGAGTTCTCCTGTTGTTCCTCCGACGATAAAGTCAGTAATTTGCTTGAGTGGAGAGGTAATTGAACCGCGAAAGTTCTTAAGCACAGTGGGTATAAATCAAGATCTTACCTTATTGTTAAAAATAGTACCTCTATTTATAATGGTAGTAGGGGGTAGGATGGTACATTCGATCGAGTATGGGCTGACGGTCAAGTCAGCATTTGTTTTACAGGTGTCGGCCGATGAGTGGAGGGGAGGTCACTTCCATATTTAATGTGAAGTGACTGGGTGTGTGTGCTGCTAACATGGTCCGATGTGTCATAAAGACTATTGAGGACAGAGAAATGATGGCGCTAATGATGCATTTATTGACATTTATTACAAGGTGATTGGCTGTCAGTGCGCGGGAGGGAGCTCGAGTCTTGAGATAGTCGTCGCATTTCTACTTGTCCAGTAGAAGGTCGAGAAGTACTGCTTTTTGAGTCGCCCTTGCGAGATGGTCAGTCGAGTAGGTTGGTCAAGAAGTTGGCGTAGCCAGGGGTCGACATGTAACGCCTTTCGAGTCTCCCTTGCGAGATGCCGGTGTGTCGAGTCGTCCGAGCTGGGTCTTAGATTATCTTGAAGTGAAGAGTTGGCTCGATTACGCATAATGTGGGACACTTGTCTGCTATTAATTGGAGATTATTTTTTAGCACTAAAACGGCTATAACAATATGTGTTACCTTAATCATTTCTTTTTGTCTTCATCCTTTGCAAGTATATTATATTTATGGGCTCCTTGGTTGCATGATCTTAAACTGCACGTCGAAGTGTCCTGATTGGCAACAAGGCAATAAGTTTTGTTCTTTTTTTGGGGGGGGAAGCCTACTCTTGTTTGTGCCCAGATTAAGAATTTGCTTCCGTCCATGAGTGTTTATGTTATGTTGATGATCTTTTGTGAAGCTTTCTTGATTTTTAAGTGCTAATCGACAATTAATTCCAATTTGGTCTTTCACGGGTGAGGGCTTTGATGACAATGATAACCAACAGTGGGGTGGATGTATGCACCCTCTGGAGGTGCAGTTGCACCCCTAGTATTTTGTTATTATCTTATAAACCCCAGTAACTTCTACAATCTGCTCCCCAAAATTTTTAAAAATTGCACCCAATCAGTCTAAAAGCATTAAACAAACTAGTAGAGCCCATTTAAAATTTCAATAATAAAGTCATATGGGCCCAAATATTTAAAGGTCGATACTACTCCACTAGAAACGCAAATGTTCAAAACCCAAACCCAAAAATAACACAAAACCCGAACCCATTACCTTATAAATAGATACCTGTCTGCCTCCAACAACAATTTTCTGGATCCGCCACTGATAACCATGCTTGTTGAAATTTATTCTCTGGTCATGTGAGTTTCAGGTCTTCCAGAAAGCACTGACCATAAATACTTAAATAGTCATATATACAAAAGTTTGCCGTACCTGACCAGATGCCTGGTTGCTTGATGAAGGGCCTATTTGGTTGGTTCCTTAGAAACTAAATAGAAAAGAAAATAGGGGAGATGAAACCATCTCCAGTAGCATCCGCCCATCCCAAATGGGGTTCTTAAATGATGGGTTCCAAAAGAGAGGGTGCCGCATCACACTTCGTATTGGTTTCAAGGTGAGAACTACCCCCCCCCCCCACCCCCCCTCCCCCAAAAAAAAAAGAAAAAGAAAAAAAAGAAAAAAAGGGGAAAGTCTTATAGGAAATATGTTTTCCCATAACACGCCTCTTTGGTCTTTTGGTCAACCCAACGTAAGCTAGCATGCATGAACTTGCAGATGACAGTATACTGCATTTCTTTCAAATACCCTGATTTTACAACATGCACTATAGCCTTGGCCTATTTACTTCTGTATTTGGTCATAGTTATTCCCTAATTTTGGAACATTCTTTGTTGTCATTTTACCCTTTTCTTTTTTCTTTCTATTAGACTATCTTTATACATGAATATGTTCAAACTTGATTTTAAGCACTCAAAGCTAATGAGGTTTTGATTCACTCCACTTTTTGCAGAGGGTTTTCTTGGAGGGAAATCCATACCTCCTGGTAGTAACCATGGCCGTATCTCTGCTACACTCTCTATTTGATTTCTTAGCATTCAAGAATGGTAGGCTGAATGACTGTTATATGTGACTTCATATGTAGTCTATAGACTCAGCTTTGTTTTCTCATTAGTGTTATATGTGACTTCTTATGGTAGGCTGAATGACTGTTATTTGTCTTGGTTCTTGCAGATATCCAATTTTGGAATAAAAACAAGTCAATGGAAGGATTATCAGCAAAATCAGTTGTCGTGAGCTTTATTAGTCAGCTAATCGTTTTCTTATACCTCCTTGACAATGATACATCTTGGATGATCCTTGCCAGTTCAGGGGTTGGTTGCTGTATAGAGTTTTGGAAAATTGGCAAAGCCATGCATATTGAGGTATGCTATAACTAGCTGTTTTCTTTTCTAGATCTTGGCAAGATATTGATCCTAGGCGATTCAACTTAATCATAAGTAACACCTAGAGTTATAAAATTATTTCTTGCTGGTACCTAGAACATTCAAAGTAAGAAAATTTGTCTGAGGTACATCTAAATGTGTTTGCCGCAGTTATGGTTTTAGTTATGTTGTATAAAATCTGCATTAGGTGCTTATATTTCTGATGAAAGAGGCCAAGCTTGTGTTTAAGTTTCTGCTCACAACTGCCACTGAAATTTGATTTTTCTTTTTCAATTCCTTATTTTTTAGGATTTAGTTTCCTAACAATGGTATGCATAGAAACATCTGAACTTTATCCTTATTGGAGATTTTATTTATTTACTTTGATTTTTATTTTTCATCAATAAGTGTTCAAGTTTCTTCTATTCTACTGTTTAATCTACATGTTTGATGACGGTAAAAAAGTTTTAAGCATGTACAAATTCTTTGGTCATCCCCTCTGATGTTTTGTTAATCTTATCAGATTGATAGAAGCGGAAGAATACCGATGTTGAGATTTCGAGATCATGATTCATATGCAAAGAACAAAACCAAGGAGTACGATGATCTTGCCATGAAATATCTATCTTATGTTCTTTTGCTTCTTGTTGCTTGCTCTTCTGTCTATTCGCTCATGTATGAAAGGCACAAAAGCTGGTATTCTTGGATACTTTCATCTCTCACAAGCTGCGTATACATGTTTGGTAAGTCCTCTTTTGCATTTTGATAAGAACTGGATCCTTGCTTAAATTTATTGTAAATGCCCTAGGGGACATTCTCATTGTTGGAATACTTGTGTTTATATGATTTTCCATTATTTGGTAGCATAACAAGATCCATGATAGGGTCTGACCGCCATTCTACTGGTCTGCAATATTATTTTAAAAAACAGCCACAGACCCACACCTATAACATGGTGTAAAAGGGGACTGCTGTAAGCTTTAAAAAAGTTTGGGGGTCTTTCACCTTTGAATATTCAACTTGGAGAAGGTCACATGCTGATAATATCCAGGGTTTGTCAGCATTTTACTATTAATTATATTGAAAGTCGCATAATATTGACCAACATACTAACCTCCCGATAAATATTGTTTGGAAGAGTACTGTTAATCCAACACTATTCTAAATTTACTAATTCTGCTTATGCTTGTATGATTTCCAGGTTTTATCATGATGTGCCCCCAGCTATTTATAAACTACAAGCTGAAGTCAGTTGCACATCTGCCATGGAGACAGATGACCTACAAATTTCTGAACACAATCATTGACGATCTCTTTGCATTTGTCATCAAGATGCCAATTCTACATCGTCTTTCAGTTTTTCGTGATGGTGGGTTTTTCTTTTTCTTTTTTCCTTTTTACTTTCCATAGCCTCAAAACCATTTCGACTAAACTTTCCAACTTGTTTATGGTTATTGTATAATCTTACCATCTAAGCTTTTGTAGCAACTCACGAAAAAGCTATTAAATGGTCCATGTGCACCGGGTAGTTGATACCAAGGAGAGAATAACTCTTGCTTAGTGTACTAATCCCTAAACCCTTGTGCACATCGATTCAAGGATATAAAGCTCTTGATGTACCAACTCCCCACTGGACAGAGATCAATGAATAGTAGCTCCACTCCATTATTTTAAGTTGGAAGATGTGAAAGAAACTTTTGTCAGTTAAATCAAAGTTTATTTTGAATTTTTTTCTTTCTTTTTGGGTTCTGCAGATGTTATTTTCTTGATATATCTATATCAGAGGTGGGTATATCCAGTTGATAATAAGCGTGTCAATGAGTTTGGTTTTGGAGGGGAAGATGAGGACCAGAGCGTGATCACCTCCAGCTCAGATGCCGTTCAGAACGGCGACGAGAGTACCGAAGGTGACAAGAAAACCAATTGATCATTCAGGCAGTTGCATACTTTTGAGATGGATCGGTATAGAGAAGCATTGCGTTATTGTCAATCCAACCCTGTTGAAAATTTAATTGCAGACGCATTTTTTTTTACTGAAAGAAGTGGATACAAATTATCAGGATAAACTCTACTAACCATCCTGTAGTGTTGTCTTCTATAAATTCATGCAATGTTCTTATATATTTCTAGGTATTTTGCTGATTTCTCAGCGGGATTGTAATTAGATCAAATTTTGAATATTGCTTTTAGTGTAACACATCAACTATTATATTCTATTCCTCATAAAGTTAAAAGTGGTGTGCAATGTTTCAAGATATCTCCAGGTATTTTGTTTGTAATGTTTGGAGATATTTCCAGGTATTTTGTTTACTTAGCTAGATTGTAAATAGATCAAATTTTGAATATTGCTTTTGAGTGCAACGCATCAACTACTGTTATATTCTTTTCTTCATTATGTAAAAGTGGTGTGTATGTTGAATTCTGTTTGCCTTTGATAGGTTTTTTATGATATTGGTCCCTTAATTATGTTTGAATTAGTTCCTTCAGAAGATGGATTTATAGAATAAATCTTCCACCGAAGAACTTAAATCCTTGTTTTGACCTCCAATTTGCTAATGACCATTTGCTATTTTCGTTATGTCTCTGTCGTCCCCTCATCTTTTGCTACTAGCCAACACTTGGCCACCTCCGGCAACGATCAGCGACCTTCAGAACTGCTAGCATCACTAGTTCCTTTGAGACCTCAAGCAGCTCGTATCTTGCTTACTTATGATCAATGACAGAGAGGGCACAAAGGATGCTAATGCTCAGAGGGGCCATGGTATGTAAAGTGTAACTGTGCAGAACTTTTTTTATTATTATAAATTTATCATCATCATATCTGAAGAAAACCATACGACATTTCCGTGTATAACTGGCAATTAAAAAGTTTACCAAAAGTGAACTGCATAGAGTTATTTAGAGTTTATCATATCATAATCATATGTAATTATGTTCGCATTGCATTATTTTGGCAAAAGGACATAATAATAGTGTTTACCTTTGAGGATACATGTTTAGAAATTTCCGTTGTGAGGTTTACTTGCTCTCAGATTCAGTTTTTCAACTGCTAGTCTTAGAATTTTTCCGTAGTTGTTTAGCTATATGGATTTCTCTGAACCATTACCTCTAATTTCATTACTGACTTGGAGAAGGTTTTATTTGTTTCTAAAAAGTGGCAGAATTGTAGAATACCAAACAGATCTACATATTTATTTATTTCCGTCAAAGTTCTTTAGAAACAGATAGTCTATAACTTCACAAATCAGCATATAACTTCGCAAATCAATATATTCTAGTTCTATGAGTAAAAAAGACCATCCTATAGTTGAGCCATCTGCTGAATATTGAATGGATAACAGTCGGAAGGCGTTCCAGTGAATGCTCGCTGGGCTAGGATCAAATTCACAGCTTGTGTTGAATGGAATGCGTCCCAGAAACATGCTGGTTGCGATCTCTACAAGGAATGGCAAAAGGTAAGCATGTTATCTGTCCCCGGTTCCTCCCCAGCCCACAACATCCTTGGTCGATGACCGTAAAACCTGTCAATTTCCGTCATCAGTAGTGTCTATTCGATAGTCTTATGAAGAAACTTTAGTATGTTGTACAGTGGGTCTTAAACATATACCAAAAGTTTTGGGGTTATTTATGATTTCGTCAAGGGCACCATAGGTGTTTCCATAGGCAAAGATCGCTCCCGTGTGATATTTATTTAGTTGCTGGACTAGGGTTTTGAGGCCGACGTTGAACGGACCAAGCATCTGATTCACTTGGTCAATACAACGATAAGGAGGAGCTAGACCCATTGCTTGCTGGTTAGGGATGCAGCCCAAGGGGCCAATTCCAGTCAAGAAAAATTCCGGAAGTCCTAAGCTGTATAGTGCCTGAACAATAGGAATACCAAGAGTTAAAGAACATATTAGGTTCACAATGTTTACAAGTTTTGTTTATTCTTTACCAGTAATTGTCTAGTGTAGTGGTTAAGGAGGAGGTTGGCATATTGCTGAGGGTTGTAGTTGAATCTGGTAAGGTACAGAGGTGGCAGCAAGTAGTTATTGATGTAGTCATTGCTTCCAATAACGAACATGGCAATGGACCTAGCGAGATATTGGGTCACGTTCTTTGCTGACATCAGGGATCTCAGTTGGTTCAGGTTGTCTTGGAAATTAAGCACTTGTTGCCTCAGGCTATATCTCTGCGCCTGATGTTAGAAATAACTTTTTAGAGTAGATGAGTTTAAAGAGAGAATATTTATGAAAAGCACAAACATATATCAGATTTGAAGCACATATAATTAACAGTCACAAACACAAATCTAATGAGTTTCAAAGCAAGGCCTACATCCTTAAGCAACAGCTGACAATCCTTTTCATTGTTCAGAGAAAAGAAAGAAGAGAGGAAGGGAATACTATCACAATCAAGAGAATAGAGGGAGGAAACGTTAGTACCAGGAATTGGCCAGATTCATCAAGGATGCCTCCAGCTGCTGAAGCATAGTTCACTCCAGCAAGCAATGCTGTTCCATTGAGGAAAGGACTTGTATATGGTGGAAGATACGGAAGCCCCAGGAGATCACCTGAGAAGCAACATAAACCATATTTCCCATTAGGATTGTTGCCACTGAATGTTAATTTTTTGTTAGCATAAAAAAATTGTTCATGTTCATCGAATTCAAGCCTACTTCATGCCCAAAGTTTGATGATCAGGAACTTACATATCTATCACAGTCTTTCCATTACAAAATCTCCCAGTTGGTCCTTGAAAGAAATCAATCCCATAAGGATACTAATTTGCCTTTGCTATAGAGCTCAAGTAATTGTTGTTGCCATTATCAACCAAAGAATCACCAAACACAAACATAGCTGGGACTTGAGGTGCACTGAGCACCCTAATTGAACATTGTACTAGTACAAAATTAGCAACAAAGAAACAACTAATCATGCTCATTTTCTCCTTCTCGAGAAGCTGAATATGAAGCAGAGTACAAGATATTATTGTTCTAGTTTTTCATAATATATTGACTGTTAGAGATTTGATGGTTAGAGAAGTCACTTTCTTATGAAACGGCTAGCAGCTGAAGAACATATGAAATTCTTGCATTTTGGTATACTTTAACCCTGTTTTGCTCCTGTTTTGGTGGTTTTTTTAAAAGATTCTTGTTCTTTTTTGCAGTTATCCGTTTCATTTTAATGCAGCAGTGCTGATTGCATGTTGCAGTTTGGAGAAATGAGATGATGACAAAACTTCGAAACCTATATTTTCCTGATGGTTGAAACTGTTAAAGGTTTGTTTCTTTGCACCAAAACCCCACAGGATGAAAGTCCTTTTTGTGGACAGAAATCCTGATCCACGCAATGATATTTATTTTAATCCTCTTTAAACACATGGCCTGTAGATTTTAACGTGGGTAACTTTTCTTATTATGTTAAAGGTTCCATTTGTTGTAACAAAACTTTGAAGTTGTGGTGAGTGTTGATGGTTATAACTTTAACAGAAACTTACACTAATAATTTTGGTTTAGCACGACAGATGCCTATACACAAACACATATATACACACAAAAATACACATGAAAAGAAAATTACTCACACAAACAACATACATACAAAAATTATAAACAATTTCACTCAACATGTAGGAAGGAAGACTGAATTTAGTAGAAAAGGATATATACTTAATTTATTCACCCATCATTGATTTGCTGGCCTTGTTTAAGATATATATGTTCCAATTACGCATGGGCACGCACACCCACACCCATGCACGTGCACACCCACGCACACACTCACACCCACGGACACACACCCACACCTGCACACACACCCACACACACGAATACACACACAGACACGCACACACGCAAGCATGCACGCGCTCATGCCCTCCTACCAGCCCGCGCACGCGCACACATATCATGAACTCATGCTTACAATGTCATACTTGGTGTGGTAACTGACATGCATCATGATGATGTCATGCTTGGTGCGGTAGCTGATATGCATCATGATGATGTAGATGTTAAGAGCAAGTTATGTAGATGTTAAGAGCAAGTTATATTTCTTAAAGCAATGGAAGTAAATATCAACCCAATTTTTGTTGAAAATAAAACTAAATTCTTGATAAGATGCATTCCCACTCAGTATAGAAAGCAATATTGATTTTAATTTGGATGGAAAAGTTTAGGCATGCTTCTTGGATCATTGATTCTGTTAGCCATTTTTTTCACCTATGAATATGTTACAAGAAACTATGAGTTAATGATTTCCTTTCATTAAATTTTCTTTAATAAACAGAAATAATATTTTATTTTTCACTCAGGAAAATCTTGCTAGCTGCTATTTTTATTAAGCATCTAATCAATATGATTAATCTTCAATTTCTTAGTCAAAGTTAGAAGCTAGTTCCACCTTTTTTTTGTTGTCAAAATTAGATACTGTTGGACATTTTTTTCATCTATTAATATGTTTCAAGAAACTGTGAATTAATGATTTTCTTTCATTAGTGAAATAGAAATAATATTTCACACTGAAGACAATCTTGCTAGTCAGTATTTTTTATTAGACATCTAATTAATATGAATAATCTTCAATTTCTTAGTCAAAATTAAGACTAGATCCACCTATTTTGTCACAATCAATCTCTTATCACACTAAAGACTGATCAAAGAGATGATGATTATGAGAAGAAATTTCATCTACTTGGATTACTCTTTTACATCACTCTATTAGTGCTAATTTAGAGTCAAAAGGAAAGTGGAGATGTTAAACTTAAATTGGTCATTTGTTGTGTTTGGTTTGTGAATTTGGAGATAAACAAAGCAGTAAAAATTCTTAATTTCTTCACACCTACTATGAAAATTAAGGAAAGTTCTAATTCAATATTTGTTGGTTTGTTTTGTAACATGAAAAATTAACTAAGTTGAAGTGAGTGAGGAGAGTACAAATATTATTCATTATGTTTCTTTTTGTTAAATGATAGCTCATTCAAGACTGATTTAGCAGTTAAGGTTTCATGACTTACTCTAGGTATGTGACGGAGATAAGAGTTTTAACTGTTTGTTCCTCAAACTCTGATGTCCCAAAATATAGAAATTAAAGCAATTTGATTAAACATTCTCTTCCCTCTGAACCTCATATCCCAAACAATTTTGAGTGAACAAGTAATTTATAGGGTTCTATGATATTGGTCCCCAAAATTATGTTTGTATTGAATTAGGTCCCTTATAAGACTTGTAAATATAAGTCTCCTGAATCCTTTCACTTACAGCAAATAACTTAAATTGTTTTGTCAATCTGCAGTTAGCTGACAACCATTTGTTAATGTTGCTGCCACCAGTTTCTTGAGACTTTCAGTAGCTCTATCATCAAATATAGATAGAACAGAAAGGATGCTAATGTCATATCTGAAGAATAATACGACATTTCCATGTATAAATGGCAGTTAAAGAATTTACAAAAAATTTGAACCGCATAGTGTTATTTTGAACTTATCATCCTGCAATCATTAATAATCATGTCTCATATTGCTCAACTAATGCTACTACTTTTGAGGATGCGTCATAAATTTCTGTTGGGGGGTTTAGTTCTTCTGTCTGAATAAGGGTCTTCACCAGTCTTAGAATTTTCTCACAGTTGTTTATCTACATGGCTTGCGTAAAATATTTAGCTCTAATTTCATTATTGCCTTGGACAAAATGTGACTTGTTTTGCATCCTTAACCTCACTAAAATGTTTACTGGTAGATTGTTCGTACTGATCTACATATTTACTTACGCCTTTTTAGAACTTGCATTTAGAAACACGATTTTTTTCCCGTGGATACAATCTTATATTTAGGGTAAATTTACATAAACCACCTTATATTTCTAATTTATACCTAAACCACCTACAAAGTTAGTTTTCTTCCAATCAACAACCTGACCTCACTTTATTTTTCTAAAATTCTAATAATGCCCTCCTTAATCTCACACGGGAACATTGGGAAGCTTGCAGAGCATCTACAAGAGAGGTCACGTGCTTTACATGTGAGATCAAGTGAGGGTACTTTCGGGATTTCAGGTGGTTAATTGGAAGAGAGGTTAACTTTGTAGGTGGTTTAGGTATAAATTGGAAATATAAGGTAGTTTAAGTAAATTAATCCTAAATATAAGGTAGCTTCTAGGAAACTCTAGCACTATGATAACAAGACCATCGATAGCTTAGCTCTCTGCTAAATATTGATTGGATAACAGTCAGAAGGCAGTCCAGTGGATGTTCGCTGGGCTAGGATCAAGTTCACAGCTTCTGTTGCCTGAAATGCGTCCCAGAAAACATGCTGGTTGCGATCTCTACAAGGAGTAATGAAAGGTAGGCACAGTATTTTGAATATTTAGATGACTGTGAAACCTGTCAAGTTCAGTCATCAATAACATCTACTAGATGAATATTTTGATATAGGTCATCAACTGTTGATATTTAGAAATAAGTCCTCCAAAAACTTTTAAGTTACAACAAATAGGCCCCTCTAACTAAAATCTGGTATTTTAAACTATAAAGCTAATGGTTGTTTGTTGTTTTCCATTATGCCTTAAACTCTTGCTGCTAGAAATTATTTATGTATATCAACCTTTGGAGACTTATTTCAAAATACTGATAATTTGGGCAACCTGCGACCAATATCTAGACTCCTGAAAAGCTTTAGTGTGTAGTGCAGTAATTTCTCAGAACATACCATAAGTACTAGGACTGTCTAGGATATCACCAAGTACAGCACGGTTGTTTCCGTAGACAGGAAGGACTTCTGTGTAGTTTCCATAGACAGGATATTTGATGACTAGAGAAGTTGCTTTCTTGTGAAATGGCTAGCAGTCAAAGAACACATGAAATTATTGCATTTGGGTATACTTTTCTTCCCTGTTTTACTCCTGGTCTTTGTGGTTTATTAAAGGTTCTTTTCTTTTTGCAGTTATGTGTTTCGTTTTGATGCAGCAGTATCGGTTGCATGTTGGAGTTTGGACAAATAAGATGGAGGACAAAAGTTTGAAACCTATCTTCCCTGAGGTTTGAAGTTAAAAGGTTTTTTTTCTTGCACCAAAACCCCACAGGTTGAATTGCCTTTTCATGGAATAAATAAAGATTCACTGCTGTGATACTTCAACTTTTTTAATCCGCTTTAAGCATGCGGCCTTCAGAAGGTTGAAACTTTATATTTGTTTCATGATTTATATTTTTATGCAATACATGCAAGCATGCATAAATAATCAGAATCAAAATAACCTTTGGATTCATGGTGTCGTAATGTTTGTTTAAGAATTAATTCACGAGCTCAACAGTTGATATACTTTAAATGAAAGCATAAAAATGGAAGTGGAAGAGGATACATCTTGAAATATTGGAGCATCCAATAGTGTCCAAATGTTATACACATTAAAATCCTAAAATTTGCGTGCCCATGTAAGAGTCATGTAGAATTTATCGTGCAGTAATCATCAGTGATTATGTCTTACGTGCCATTTTCTTGGCAAAAGAACATAATGCTGGTGTTACTACCTTTGAGTATATGTCTGTAGAAATTTCTGTTAGGAGGTTTTAGTTCTGCTGTCTGAATAAGTTTTTTTTTGACTGGTGGTCTTAGAATGGAAAATATGATTCATGTAGCCGACCCGAAACATTTGGGATAAAGGCTTGGTGGTGGTTGTTTGTTGGTGGTCTTAGAATTTTCTCATAATTATCTAGCTATGCAGATTCCCCACTAGCCTCGGAAAAATTTGGTCTGTTTCTACTTTCTAAGCCTTACTAAAGTGGTTATTGGTAGATCGTTCATACTGACCGACTACATTTTTTTATGCCTTCAATATTTGTCTTTAGAAATTGATAGTCCACAGCTTGATGAGCAAACTCTAGCACTATGAGAAAAAAGACCATCCTATAGCCGCGTCATCTGCTGAATATTGATCGGATAACAGTCAGAAGGTCTGGTGAATGCTCGCTGGGCTAGGATCAAGTTCACAGCTTCTGTTGGATGGAATGCGTCTTAGAAAACATGCTGGTTGTGGTCGCTACAAGGTTAATGAAAGGTAGGCACTGTATCTGTCCTTGATTCCTCCCGAGCCCGCAAGACTCTTGGTCTATGATCGTGCTGTCAAGTTCAGTCATCAGTAGCATGAACTAGATGATCCCAAAAAATCATTGGTATTTTGAAATAGGTCCCAAAATGTTGACATTTATAAATAACTCCTCCAAACCCATTAAGCTACATCAAATAAAAAGATAACAGTTGTTTGTTATTTCTGTTGTGCCTTCAACTATTGACACTATCCCTTCCTGTGTGGCACTGTTGAGCTCAGGCGACACCAAACGTTTACAGCTACTATGTGCCATAAATTGTCAACCACTTGTCCTGACCGCTATTGTCGTCGTCGGCCACCGCTAGCTAGCTGTCATTGCCACTCTTGCTGGAGAGGGAGGAGGAAAGGGGAGAGAGGGAGGGAGAGTTAACTAAGGTAGGGTTGGTCTTGGTGGGGATAGATAACCCTACTAAGTTAGATATTAACATAAGACATTAACATGCAGTTGTTTGCTCTAACTTAAAGATCCTTGGCGGATTATTTCTTAGATATCAACTTTGGGAAACCTATTTCAAAGTACTGATAATCCAGGGGACCAATATCTTAAATCCCAAAAACCTTTAGTGTCTTTTGAACATACCGTAATTACTAGGTTTGTTTATGATATCATCCAGTGCAACATAGTTGTTTCATAGACAAAAAGGGCCTCTGTGTGGTTTCTGTTCAGTTGCTGGACTTGGACTCTTGAGTCTGGCGTTGAAAGAACCAACCATCTGATTCACCTTGTCGACACAACAATCAGGAGGAGCCTGACAACTTGCCAGCTGGTTAGGGGTGCAACCCAAGGGGGCCAATTCCTGTCAAGAAAAATGTCCGCAGTCCTAAGTTGTATAGAGCCTGTAACGTTAGGATTACCTGGAGTTAATACAGTATTGGATTCACAATGTTTCAAGGGTTGATTGAGGATAGACCCTCTGTACTATCGCCCAACCCTGTAGTTCTTTTTTACTCTTTTAGCCTCAGATAAATAGAAAATGAATTTTCTTTGATTACAAATAGACCTCTTGAGGCAGAAGCAAAAAAAAAAAACGGGGGCTGGGGGTGGTGGGTTGTGTGTGCGTGTGGGGGTCTGTCCCAAACCCTAGATGTTCCACCTGTTTCTTCGCCAATTGGTTGATAGAACAATAGGCAATTAACTCATGTTTAAAAATTCTGTTTGTTCTCTACCATTAATTGTCTAGTGTTTTGGATTCACAATGTTATAGGTTTAATTGTAGGTAGACCCCCTGTGCTTACGCCCAATTGTGGATAGACCCTCTTAAGTGAACTTCTCCGACTCTTTTACCCTCAGAGAAAGAGGACATTGCTTTTTGACAAATAGACCTCCTGAGGGTAAAAGAGAGAATTTTTTTACCTAGGGTGTCTTATTCGCAATTGGAGTACAGGGGTTTTATCTGTAGCAATAGCTACGTGGGTCTATTCGCAATTTGGGCTATAGTACAGGGGCCTGTCCACCATTGACCCATGGTTAAAAGTTGTGTTTGTCCTTCACCAGTAATTGTCTTGTGTAGTGATTGAGGAGGTGATTGGCATACTGCTGAGGGGTGTAGTTGGAACTTGTAGGGTACAGAGATGGCTGCAGGTAGTGGTTGATGCAGTCATTGCTACTAATAAAGTGCATGACGATGGACTTAGAGATAGATCGGCTCAGGTTTGCTTCTGGCATGGTAGACCACATTTGGTTCGTGTTACTTTCATAGTTGAGCACTTGTTGTCCCGGACTGTACCCTGTCCCTGATATACTACATTAAGTTTCAGAGTGCAGAAGTTAGGAGAAGTGTAATTTTGTCAGAACAAATCTTCCATAAACCTTGAAGATTAAATTAAACCCCTCCGAACTATTGGAAAATCTCAAACGTTTTGAATGAAAAGCATCCATGTGGGAGAACAGGACACAACGTCCTGGTCATATTTTTAGAATTTTCATCTCCAGCGAATGAAAAGCATCCATGTGGGGGGGTGTTCATTTAAGAGAACAGAGGGATTAGAGTATTTGTGAAGAGAATAGAGGGACAAAAAGTTGGCCAGATTCATCAAGGATACCTCCAGCTGCTGACGCATAGTTAACTCCAGCGAGCAATGCTTGTTCCATTGAGGAAAGTACTTGTATATGGTGGAAGATATGGAATTCCCAAAAGATCTCCTTTAAGGCACATAAATAATGGTTATCACACTAGGATTACTGAAAATTTTGAGCTTATTTTATGTCTAAAGTCTGATGATTAGGAACTTACTTGGTGCATTTACCACAGCCTTCCCATTACAAAATCTCCCAGTTGGTCCTTGAAAGATATCAATCCCATAAGGATGGAAGTTAGCCTTTGCTGAAGCGATCGAGTTATTGTTGTTGCCATTATCAACCAAAGAGTCAACAATGAACATAGCTGGGACTTGAGGTGCGCTTAACACTCTAATTGAAACTCGTACAAATATGGCAATGAAAAAGTAACAAAAAGTGCTCATTTTCTCCACCACGGAAGTAATACTAAGCAGAGTACAGAAGATTTTGTTCTAGTTGTTGAGATGAAACTCATGAAATTCTTGTTTTCTGGTATGCTCCACTTTTTTCCTCTTGGTTTTGTGGTTTGTTGAAGACCCCTTGTTTTGTTGTTGTTGTTGTTGTTGCAGTGCTGGTAGCATCTTGCGGAGAAATGAGGTGATGACTAAAGCTTGGAACTTATTTTTCCAGAGGTTTGAAACTGATAAAAAGTTCCTTTTACAGCACCAAAACCGCAGAATCCTGGATTCAGGCAAAGGTATTTTCTTTATTCTCTTTAAATACGCGATCCGTTGGATATAAACCTGGATTTCTCTGGATCATATTAAAGGTGCCTTTGACTGCACAAAGCTCTGAATTTATGGTGAAGGTTGAGAATTTTAACTCACACTCAAAACAGGAACTTATGTAACATTTAGTCTCGGTACAAGCACAAGCATGCGCACGAAACAATACTAAATTTTTACCAAAATTTGGAAGTGCTTGCACACGAACAGCGTACACATTACAATTGAAAACATTCAAGGTGGGGATGAAGATTGAATTCCACAGAAAAATGTTCTTCATTTATTTCTCTCTCTCTCATCGTTTTGCAGATACACGTCTGTTATTATATTGAGAGTTACCATGTAGTGATTATGATGTGATACTTAGAGTGGCAACTGACGCAGATGCATCATGATGATGTGACTGTTAAGAGCTAGTTACGTATTCCTCCTGAAAGCAATAATGGTAGATATCAACTCAAATCTATGGTGAAGTAATGGGACTAAGTTCTTGATGTGATGCATTTCCACTCAGCGACAGAAAGTAGTAATATTTGATGTAAATTTGGATGGAAAGATAGGCATGCTTCTTGGATCAATGATTATGTTGGCCATTTTTTCGCCTGCGCGAAATCGCGATTAATGTGTTTGCTTCATTAATCTCTCTTTTAACAGACCAATTATTAGTAAACATTTCATCTTTACGCGAAAATATCTTGCTAGTAGGTGCTACTCGCATCCACGCCATTTTCGATTAGACATCAAAGCGTGCGATTAATCTTTCATTGTTAGTCAGAATTAGACGCTAGCTTCGCCTCTTTTTTTTTTTTTTTTTTTTTTTTTT